TGTATTTAACAGTGCCAACAAAGATACTTTAGTGTCCCTCTCCAACTTTATAATCAAATCATTCAAGAAAAGAAGTGAAGTGGTTGCTCTGCTTGGTAACTCTTAGCATACCCCTTAAAATGTCAGTGTATGGTCCCACTGTTGTGAGAAGTGACTCGGCAGTGGGACTGAACATGGCACAATATTTATATCTGTGTAACTTATTTACTTATCTGTCTTATGTAATTGTCATTAATCGTAATTATCAATGTCATCAAACTGGCTTTGAACAGCCATGTAAACAGCTATGTAACGGTGGTTTTAAGTTTTTTAAAAACATATTCTTTTTGTGTAACATGTTTATAGTATGTTTATGGTAAATTTATAATCACACCAAGGTTTATCTCATTGCTTAGATAGAATATTTTATGAGTAATTTTACTAGTACTTATGCTCATTATATAAAGATGGTAATGCACTAACTGTATTGTATTGTCATTTGTATATCATATTGTACAAGGTCATGACAATCTATGTACCAGTACAGAAATAAATTGAATTGAATATAACCAAGTGGGTCCATTAAAATTATAGAAACCTAATTTAGGCACTGGTTGTGTGTCCCAGAATTGGTAGGATTTTCTTGACGCCTCTTCCCAGTTCTTGGGCGCCCCTTGGGGGACTCCCAGCAGTTGCATGGCACGCTGGATCTCTTGGAGCTTATCAACAGGAAGAGGTGGACTCTGGAATTTAAATGAATGTGATGGTAAATCATTCAAAACTTGAAAGATAATCCCAGCATTGACAAAGATTAAATAACATATTATAACTCTTGATCTAAATCACCATTCACGTGACAAAGGTTCATAGGTGTTGGATAGAAATGTTGTGTTTGACTGATGTTATTAAGTCCCTCAGTAAAGAATAATTCTATGTAATCATCAAATCTATAGATCTTGCAAATAGCAAAAAGCATGATCACTACATGTGGATAAATAAAACCTTTCTCAGTCATATTCTCACCTTCACTGCCTCCTGTGACTTAGAGGCACTTGATGAAGCAGGAGCATTGCTGGCAGGTGTACTTCCCCCTGCTGACGATGTGTCATCACGAGAACTCCCCTCACGGATATCATGCATATGATCCTCAGCTGGGTAGGCATCTCCTGACTGCTTATGTGGATTCACCTACAAGTGAAATGGAAACAAAAATGAGCAACAAGTTAGACTTAATTTGATAGCAGTAAATGTTTGCACTGTCAAGTTCTCAGCCATAAGTGCAAAGTTATATAACTATCTGCAAAGTGAGATTGCCAAGAAAAGTTTAAAGAACTCATAGAACAGAGATTTGAGAATCTACTGGCCTGAACCCAAATTCACTGGCCCAAGTCAAATTTTTTTAAAACAACAAATTTTACGTCAATTAACACAATGAAATTGAACGGGCTTCCTATTGCAAATAAGAACAAACATATGGGACTCCCAACAGGTATGTGAAAAAAAAAAGGATTCAACATTTAGCCTGAACATTTAGAAAATGAAATGGAGTACAAGTTATAGCTGAAAAAATCTACTGGCCCTACTGGGCCGGTAACTATCTTTCAGAAAAACACTGGCATGGTCCAATGTTTACTGGCCTTGGCAGTGGTTAATGAGGCAGACTGCTCCAGTGAACAGATTAAGTGCTATTTATCTAAAATTAAAAATACAAGTGTTTACCCTTAAGTTATCCATGATAAAAAAAGCTCTTTACAACATATTTACTTTTTTCTGGTTATGTGGTGGGTCTATTATTTGACTGTCTGAGTCTCCGCTGGAAGGGTCTGTTTGCCTTGCTGGTCTTCTCTTCATTTTCTGCTTACTTTTTTTCCTGTGTCCCTCCAGATGATGTCTGTAAAAGATGGTTTATGGAATTTATGTATGTATAATGCGATTTTATTTAATACATTGACCAATCAACATTACAGTCTACATGATTGCTAGACCTTTAACGATTACTTCTGCTTTCACTCTACGAATTTCGAAAACCAATTAATCAAGATGTTTTGCGGGGAGTGTTATTTTCATGGATTAAAAAAGTTCTTAACAAGTAACGCTTCCTCACCCTTGTCCTTCATCGTTTCAATGGAACACCCAGTAATCTTATTTTGGAAAAATAGGTGCATTTGGGGGAAAATCATGAATGATAGGAATAGAGTATACCCAATAAGAAAAGATCATACTATGAAAACACGGTTTACCCTTCTTCTGAGACGTCATCGTCTTCTCCATCTGCATCTACAGCGCTAGTATCTTGATCTAAATCGGAATCCGTCGCGTGCAGACTATCGACGTCGGCCATGATTGTTTCACATGGTCTACGGAAGTAAAAGAGAAAGCGTAATTTTGATTCGATAAAATATTCATTTGCAGAATCAAGTTTTTATTTTACTATAATACCTTGAAATGTAATAAGTTGTTATTTTTAAATAAACTGAAAATGATTTAAATTTACAAGATTTTTTCCAGGTTTCGTCTGCGGTCTAAGTTAATTAAAGTACGCATGCGTAGTTTACATGACAACAGTCACTTCGCTTCCTGTCTGTGTGGACTCTGTTGAATTAAATATTTCTAAAGTAAATCTGTCTAAATCAAAAAGAAAAATGAGCAAGGTAACGATGACAAAGAAGGAGATCCAAGCGCTTTCTGAGAGGTTATCCCATTCAACGGCATGTAAGCACTACACTGGATTGATTAAACATTTATTTTAGTTTAAGTGTCTGTAGCCTAGGCATGGAAAATTGGCACTGGCATACTCAAATACTGCAATTGACTTAAAAAAAACAGTATTATTAACAGTTCACCAGGATTATCACTAGTAGTATTAGTAGTATGACAAGTCACACTGAGTGTGCAGTGTCAGCACCCTAGTTAGTCGATAGTGAAGTAAGGTAAATGGTAGTGTTATCCGTAGAGCTGAATGTGACCAATTGAAATAGAGAAGTCATTAAAATAATGATGATGTAATTAAACTGAAACGGCAAAATAACTCTGGAACTGGGATTCAGGAATAGATTATACTACTCTGAATTTTACTCATTTAGTTTAGGATAGAATTATGAAACATGATCAGAACAACTTAGAAGTATACATGATTGTTACAATTTTATTTCAGACAATAAGTATGAAGTTGAAGTCCTTCTCAAGAGCTATTTTCATGAGAAAAATAAGTACAAAATGGACAGAGCTGTCTTCAGGGAAATTATATCAAATCATTTTGGATTGAGAGATGATTTGCTTATGGATAGAGGTAAGTTTGTTTGTGCAGTAATGGTTACCAACAGGTACGTGGTATTATTACAGTTTATGACAAGCTACTTGTCCAGCTGTAGATGACACATTACTTTCAGCATTCTCCCAGTTCTGTCTGCCAGTAGGCACTTTGTGAATTGGCTGGTAAATGGAAGGGCAAACCAAACTGCACCATACTTCAAGCTCTTTTTCTTTTAACCACCATATACTCATGTACTTATACTTTTATGGTCCAAGTCACCACTGGGCTCCATAGAAGGTACTCATACCCCTTGCTGGAGCCTGCTACAGTATGTTGTTTCTCTTATCAACAATACCATTATTTATTCAGACTTTTGTTTGTAATTTTCAATGAAAAAAAATATATTCCATGATGTCTAGGCGATTAAATCTGTGAGGCAAATGCAAAGTCTGCTTCCTAAAGATGCCTTGCTAATCACACTGGTAATATACACCTACTAGAATTACATTTTTAGGCATCGCATTTTGTTTTCAAATGAGTCATTAGCCAGTGAATTTCATTAGTTCTTGGTGTATTATTTTACAGTCCAGTTTTCTCATTCATAACTATATGTCTCTATTCAACAGCAAACATTTTTTTGAACATGTTTGTTAGTTTATGAACATGATTAGTGTACATATAGAGATGGCAAATCGCTAAAAGCATTATATGCTCATCTAAGATAACTTTAAAATGTAACTAATTAACTAATAAATGTAAATTCATAGAGTACGTAGATCTTGAATTTTTTCAAACTGAGCTGTATGTTGCCTAACATAGCATTAATTACATATTGACTTTTTTCCAGTGTTTCGTACTTTTGATAAAGATAACGACAGTTTCCTGAACATGGAAGAGTTTGTGAATGGTATGCACATACTGACGCGGGCCTCAATGGAACAGAAGAAAAGCTGTAAGTATAGGGCAAGGTTCATGCAGACGGGAGGCTAGCAAACATGTGTCTTTCTACTAATTTACATACATCAGTAACAAAACTGTCATCAGTCAAATGTCATTAAATTTCAAATTTTCAAGTGAATCTCTTTTATTTTTCATATACTTCTAGATTGTTTTAAAGTCTATGACTTGAATGGTGATGGGATTATATCCAGAGAGGAGATGTTCCAGCTGCTGAAACCCACCTTACTCAAGGTAACTACACTACATCACCTTACTCAAGGTAACTACACTACACCACCTTACTCAAGGTAACCACACTACGCCACCTTACTCAAGGTAACCACACTACACCACCTTACTCAAGGCAACTAAACTACGCCACCTTACTCAAGGTAACCACACTACGCCACCTTACTCAAGGTAACCACACTACGCCACCTTACTCAAGGTAACCACACTACACCACCTTACTCAAGGCAACTAAACTACGCCACCTTACTCAAGGTAACCACACTACGCCACCTTACTCAAGGTAACCACACTACGCCACCTTACTCAAGGTAACTAAACTACGCCACCTTACTCAAGGTAACTAAACTACGCCACCTTACTCAAAACTCTGCAAATGTTGTAAATTTCTGAAAATTTCAATTTACTTTTAATTTTTATTCATTTTTGAATATAGTAATATTTAGATTTTATTACAAATTAAACAAGAAAATGCAAGTTGTACTGGCAGCATATTTATTCTATCTAAATCTAACTTTGTTTTACACTGCATTGTAATTGCATAAATGATTGTCATATTTTTTAGTCTATTTCAGTAGATATCTGATAATAATGTAACTATCTTTTCATATAAATAAATAAAACAATGTTAACATATGCTTAAATATGCAAAAAAAAAAAAATAGAAACAAAATAAAGCAAAAAAAAAAAAGGCACACGCCACACCAGGGCTCGAACCAGGGCCCTCCCACTTACAATACAGAGTGACCACTTTACCGCCTGAGCTTTGCAGCCTTTTCATCTTAAGTTAGGCACTAAAGGTTATTCGTGCCGAGTGCACATCGTGTAAACATGCCTTTTGCGCACCACACGCATTCGTTGACCTGGGAATACATATAATTTTTCCTTTTCTGGCCACACTTTTACACTAATAACTGCAAATTGAACATCTCAATGGCCTAAACGAAGCAACCGGATGACATATGATGCTTACATTTACCCCTTTATAACACCTACCTCGTCTCAGAAAATGATTTTCACATCAAAAACGTCGAATTTGCGTGTTAGACCGGCCTGGTAATGGCTGCCGTTCAGCGGCCTCTTCCATTTTAACCATGCATGTTACGGGCACACAAGCCATATAACGCGGCAGCCTACTCGCACAACCATATGCTGCATTCCTAAACAGATTTGGGCAAATAAAGCATTACTCTGCAAATTCTTGCAGAGAATGAACATTTCAAGTTTTATTTTGTAGTTGCACATATAACAATTAACAGAGGTTACTGCAACATATAAGTTAGCTTTAATATGTGAAGTTTACATTTCCTACACCTCTAGAGTGATTTTCTTTGAATTTTTAACCAATACAACTTTAACAATTTCTGAAGGAATCTAAGTTCCAGGGAAGGATTGGGTCTTTTCTTCCATGGTCGCGCAACTTTCTTCATTAGGATGATACACAGCTTCGAGCGGCCCACCTTTTAAAGAAGGGAGGGGCCAGTGGGGATGTTTCATGGTGAGGGACTTTACATCTGTCTTTCACTAAACATGATACAGCCCATTTGGTACTTGCTTGCGTTTTGTTTGGTATTCTGGTTGCCAAATTCTGAAAAAATTCAGAACTAGCTGATGGCTTCTCGAGCCTCTCCGGCTCATCTTTAATGTCAACTTTAAAGAGATTTTGCTTTAGAATTGCGATTGAGACAGAGAGACGTTGTTTTCCAATGTTACTTCTGCGTTATGTTACCTGCTGAATGGCACAGATAAGTGATGCAATAGGTGTGACCGCAAGTTACCCGACTCATTTCGCATGCCGCATTGCAACAAAGTGACAACCATTCAGTTTAATTAGTCATTACCAGGGTTAATGAATCGTGCTCAGATAAAGCACTTGGCACCAATTATCTGCTTTATTTCTCGTAAAGCTCAGCGCCTCGTACTTTATCTATACCTTAGTCGAGGTAACTCACATCATCTTGACTACACTACACCACCTTACTCGAGGTAACTCACATCATCTTGACTACACTACACCACCTTACTCAAGGTAACTCACATCATCTTGACTACACTACACCACCTCACTCAAGGTAACTCACATCATCTTGACTACACTACACCACCTCACTCAAGGTAACTCACATCATCTTGACTACACTACACCACCTCACTCAAGGTAACTTACATCATCTTGACTACACTACACCACCTTACTCAAGGTAACTCAGACACCTCATCTGAATACACTACACTATGCTCAGAGTCTTATACATTTTAATAAAAGTAAATATGTTGTTTTTGACTTGATAAAAATGATTATTATTTGAATTTTTCAGAAACCAGTAGATTTATTTTAATTTTAAAATATTTAACAAGAAATAACTAAGTTAACTGAAAGTTTTAAGATTAGTAATGGCACTGTAATAATAATACTAATACTTCACTTAATGCTTAAACTCAATAATAATAATAATAATAATAATAATAATAATAATAATAATAATAATAATAATAATAATAATAACATGTATGTCCTGGGTCTACTACAGCCACACCACATTCACATTTAAAGTGCTAATTTCTTCTCTCTCTTTCCTGACATAGAGTAGTGGAGAGGAGGACCCAGATGAGGGGATCAAGGAATTGGTGGAAATTGTGCTGAAAAAGCTGGTATGTATACTGATATGCCTGCTTCAAAGCACTGTGCAATGGTTTATGCCTTAATTTAATCAGAACAACATTTCATTAAACATTGCACCACAGCACTATTAAAGAAATTCGTAATTTGCATGCTTTGATTCGCATAAATATTTTCCTTACTTTCCTTTCTTTCTTTCTATATTGATTTTAATTGGTAAATANACACCACCTTACTCAAGGTAACTCACATCATCTTGACTACACCACACCACCTTACTCAAGGTAACTCAGACACCTCATCTGAATACACTACACTATGCTCAGAGTCTTATACATTTTAATAAAAGTAAATATGTTGTTTTTGACTTGATAAAAATGATTATTATTTGAATTTTTCAGAAACCAGTAGATTTATTTTAATTTTAAAATATTTAACAAGAAATAACTAAGTTTTAAGATTAGTAATGACACTGTAATAATAATACTAATACTTCACTAACTGCTTAAACTAAATAATAATAATAATAATAATAATAATAATAACATGTATGTCCTGGGTCTACTACAGCCACACCACATTCACATTTAAAGTGCTAAATTCTTCTCTCTCTTCCCTGACATAGAGTAGTGGAGAGGAGGACCCAGATGAGGGGATCAAGGAATTGGTGGAAATTGTGCTGAAAAAGCTGGTATGTATACTGATATGCCTGCTTCAAAGCACTGTGCAATGGTTTCTGCCTTAATTTAATCAGAACAACATTTCATTAAACATTGCACCACAGCACTATTAAAGAAATTCGTAATTTGCATGCTTTGATTCGCATAAATATTTTCCTTACTTTCCTTTCTTTCTCTCTATATTGATTTTAATTGGTAAATATCTTTTTGCACTTTTATACTAATGTATATTTTTATCTTAATTATCTGTAATTCCACCGTGCAGGATATGGACCATGACAGCAAAGTGTCTCTGGAAGATTTTGTGTCTTGTTTGGACAGGGAACCCTTGCTACTGGAGTGCCTGGGCCCCATTTTACCCGACCATACGGTAGGTTTTTTCAATCACAATTAAAATAATATAAAATTGATGATATAATGTAAGAGATACCAGAACTAGAAAAATTAGACATTGTAACTTATTTTTAAAATCAATTTTCTATAAGATATATAATCGTTTTACAACATTCACAAGGTTCACAGCATATTTATCAGCTTAATTGCTTAAATTTTTTCATAGTAATATTTTTATTTTTATCCATGTAATGCTATTGCTGTTAAATGCCATATAGCTCTAATTGCTTCATAGGCAAGTTTTATGAATGACATTTAAATGATCCATATATATAGAACTTTATGAGACTTGAGTGTAAAATAAAGACAGGATAATTATAGTTTGTTTTTTTTTTAATTCTCATAGCTTGTGCGATAGTTTCACTTTGTACCAGTTGACATTTTAGGAGAAGGCAGGCCATCAATTCCCAACAATGGAAATGGAATCAGATATTTGAATTGGAATTGGTGACCTTGGCTTGCTTTTCAAGCTAGGTTACAGATTTGTTGTATCATGGAATGAGCTTATGGACCTGTCTATCTACCTACACTTACTGCACTTATACTTTGCATCTATAATTCTAATGGGTTTCCTTTCCTTTCAGCATATCACTCGATTTGAAGAAAAAATGTTTGGCCAGAGCTGTTAGAGTGGGACTTCTCTGTACAGACTCTTTGAAAGAACTCTTTACAAATACAGTAAACCAAACACAATGACAACATAAATGAAGAACTTGTGTATATATATATATATCTGCCAGCATCAGTGATATGTATGGAATAAACAAAGCTGTAAGGTTTGGTCTTATTCAAAATGCAGGTGTCATTTATATTTTCAAATGTCATTTCTCTTCCAATATTCATCTAAGTCCATGTCTCACTGCATCAACTTGACTTAAAATAATGATATCAGCAGCTTTTAACAGGACATCATGTGTACATATTATATTATATTCTATACGAAGTGAGAGGAAGATTCCCATCAGGAATGAGATCTCCATTCTCTTGTGTCAAACATTCCCTAATAGATGTCAGTTGCTAATGTGGGTTTGGTTTGTGATAGATGTGTACAAATGTATATATTCTCTGAAATAAACTGTGTGACAAATGCTTCCGTCTTATGTCTTACGGGATATTGGTAACTTCACATCCCTGGGCTCAGTGTAGTTTTTGACAGAGCTTATCCCTGGGATGTGTGATCCCTGACAGAGCTCATCCCTGGGCTCAGTGTGATCCCTGACAGAGCTCATCCCTGGGCTCAGTGTGATCCCTGACAGAGCTCATCCCTGGGCTCAGTGTGATCCCTGACAGAGCTCATCCCTGGGCTCAGTGTGATCCCTGACAGAGCTCATCCCTGGGCTCAGTGTGATCCCTGACAGAGCTCATCCCTGGGCTCAGTGTGATCCCTGACAGAGCTCATCCCTGGGCTCAGTGTGATCCCTGACAGAGCTCATCCCTGGGCTCAGTGTGATCCCTGACAGAGCTCATCCCTGGGCTCAGTGTGATCCCTGACAGAGCTCATCCCTGGGCTCAGTGTGATCCCTGACAGAGCTCATCCCTGGGCTCAGTGTGATCCCTGACAGAGCTCATCCCTGGGCTCAGTGTGATCCCTGACAGAGCTCATCCCTGGGCTCAGTGTGATCCCTGACAGAGCTCATCCCTGGGCTCAGTGTGATCCCTGACAGAGCTCATCCCTGGGCTCAGTGTGATCCCTGACAGAGCTCATCCCTGGGCTCAGTGTGATCCCTGACAGAGCTCATCCCTGGGCTCAGTGTGATCCCTGACAGAGCTCATCCCTGGGCTCAGTGTGATCCCTGACAGAGCTCATCCCTGGGCTCAGTGTGATCCCTGACAGAGCTCATCCCTGGGCTCAGTGTGATCCCTGACAGAGCTCATCCCTGGGCTCAGTGTGATCCCTGACAGAGCTCATCCCTGGGCTCAGTGTGATCCCTGGCAGAGCTCTTTAAAATGTTGACAAAATTACATTGATAAAAATTGTTATAAAATTATCTGTTTTTAAGTTTTAATATTTCACAAGTTTCCTTCTCCATTTTAAAAATGAAGCAAAAAATGAGAAACTGATTCCGAATTAACCCCAAAGAGCCTGACAGCATCCGACCTAGGAAGTGCTCTTGGTCCTGAGCCCTCTACCCGGATACACTCAATTTTACAGGCCACCTCATTTAATCAATGATAATGTATTCATTTGTCTAGAAAACACCTAAGAACTGTACATTTTGAGAAAGCCAAGAATGTAAGCTTTAAAGTCACATTAGTTTTATTCACATTTGGTTACATAGGTAGAAATAGCAGGAGTTTAAATATGAGACTTGATTTCATCGAAGAGAAGTAAAAAACAAAATTTTAATTTCAGCATGCACATTCTTTTTCACTTTACCAAATAATTTGTTGAAATTTTCTCATAAACATCCGAATTATATTTTAAACAATGTCAGAAAATTTCAGAAAGTTATCTTATTTAGTTTTTGAGATATAATAAATTTCCAGGGATGCATGCTGTACCTAAAAACCTGCATCATGTCAGAGAGTTGCACAATATACAGGCAGGCTAGCTGACTAAAAGACTTCCACCTATTTACTTTTATAATTACAAATAGATTGTAAATCAAGTGCCTTTTTCAATAGTTTTTCATAGTTTTTTATTTACCAACTAAACCGGGATTCTCATAAAATTTTGTTTTGCACTCAAATCATATACAAGAATACAAACATTGTCATGAGAAAATATTACACATTCGTGAACAAAAATTGCATCATAAATATACAAGTAAACGTGGCATTTGTACTAATACACAAGCAGGAAAAGACATGTTGATACAGCGCAATAGTAAACATATTACATCTGTATTTATACACAAGCAGGAAAAGACATATGTTGATGCAGCACACAAGTAAACATATGTCATTTGTACTTATACATAAGCAGGAAAAAACATGTTGATGCAGTACAACGTAACACATGACATTTGTATTTATGCACAAGCAGGAAAAGACATGTTGATGCAGCACACAAGGCAAAATTTTGGCCCGATTTGCCACAGAAATGGTTAAAGTCATTTTATCAGCAATATCCCCATTCCAATCACTTTTGTCGTCTGCTTGGTAACTGCTGTTAATATCATCAGAGTTTTCATAAATCAAGCCCCACGTCCGAATCTGCTCTTCGACAACTCATACTAGCCAGATATACATCGTCTTTGCTGTTATCGGAGTATCAAAATCTATCAAGGACTCTTTCCCGGTGTCTGAATTTTCTAAAAAAATCTAGAACATTTCTCACCCCATAAATTCTGCTGACTTCTCGCCGCCATTTTGACTTCTTAGCACCTCGCCAATGGTTGAAATAAATTGCTTTTTCATTATTCAATTCTTGCCACATGTCTTTAAAAAGCCGAAGCAAACAAAAAACTAACATTGAGTTAGTCTTGTGACAGAAGCATGAAATGTTACAAACGACAGGGGACAGTACGCAGCAAACACAGCAACCATGTATTTGCGGTTCCCGGCACTGAGGACTTTTCAAAATGAACCGCATATGTGCGGTTCCCGGCGCTATGGGGTTAATATTTCCAAAATGGTAATTACAGCTAGAACTTATCTAGATCTTCTAGCAGTTTTCTATAGGATATAGTGATAAAGTGAAAACCTTTTGCTACATAAAGGTCTGATGCTCATCACCAGGCCTACCCAACTACCAGACTCGGCACCTAAGGATCCTGAATTAACCGGTATATCGGACCACATTTTCAAGGTGTGTGTCAGATCGCATTTCGGAGTATTAGCCAGAACACCGACAGGATGAGCCCTGGCATGCTCGGCTGTCACCTTGATTGGATAGTAAACGATTGTCGTAAAATCGCTATATGATTTTAAAATCGGGTGCAAAATTTTGAAAGCCACCTAGATGAACCTTAGACTGCCACATTAATCTAATACAATGCAAAAAAGCCCTATCAAAAGTGGTTAAACATTCAAACCGAATGTCGTAAAGTCCCCATATATCCCCATAGAGACAATAAAATAGAGTACTCTAAAGTAAGAGTACAGTTTAAGGTTGTTCAGCCGAGCGTGGATGAGCCCGCAGTCGTGCAACAAAATTTGTTCTGGGGTATGATACTCCGAAATGCGATCTGACACACACCTTGAAAATGGGTAGCGTGGTCCAATATACCGGTTAATTCAGGATCCTTAGGTGCCAAGTCTGGTAGTTGGGTAGGCCTGATCACAGTCCTATCAGCAAACTACATTTACTGTGAAAGACTTGACTGCTGTTCATCTTGATGACAGTGGTACTGTTTCTAGTGAGGTCTCATAACCACTGAGTCACTGGATTAGCTTTGTAGTGTTCATAGTCCTCTCTCTTAAAATAGGATATCTCTGTCTCATTTGCTGAAATGGAAAAAATAAGTTCATTGTTATCTGAATCAAACATGCATATGGTTTCTGTGAAGCAAACTATTTAATGAACTTTTTCCCCAAAAATACAAGTGATACTTCCCAGGGTAAAGGTTCTGTATACATCTATTATATGCCTTATTTAAAGGTCTGTTCAGAACCAGATGATCTATAGGCCAGTTGAGACTAAATAGTCTGCAGATCATATATATATATATATATATATATATATATATATATATATATATATATATATGGCACAACCCACTTTAAAGCATGCCAAGGTTTATAATATTGCTCTGCCCCAGCCTGCAGAGATGGTGCATGGGGGGCAAGAATCCATTGTCAAGTGCATGCCATATTAATTCACAGAATAATTAGGCTGCATGTACTGGTAAGTTTGGGTGGATGTCTAAACACATGGCTAACTCCCAGTGCAATGCTTAAATACCATATTGTGATTTTTGCTGTGGACTTTCTTACAAATGTCACAATTTTAGTCATTGATCAGAAGTGACTGAGCAGCCTGAAATACCATTAAAATGCCAATGTACACAGCTGTCATGCTTCAACAATGTTATTCTTTGTATAAAACATTTTAAACCCTGTTCAACAACATGTGGTCAGGTCTGCCTGCTGTACATGTACCTACACCTGGGTCCTCCCTGGGTCTAGAATGTTCTCCTGATCTTTACTTATCACTGGATCATTGTTACATCTACATATGGTCTGGCCTACCTACCTACACCTTGCTCTGAGAGTGTCCTCCCTGGGTCTAGAATGTTCTCCTCATGATCTGTATTTATCACTGGGTCATTGGTCTGAAAACATTAAGTAGTTGAATGAAGGTTGCATCTTGATTTTCCAAGGTCTGAAGTTTCATTAAGCCAGATTTTTTTTTTCCTTCTGAAATCTTGTTTTTGGATTGTTTTGTTTTAAAGCTAAGATCAATGGATAACACTATCAGGGAGAAAAAACTGCTGAATTCTGCCTGCTATATTGTCAAATGAGTGTGACTCATCAAATATAATGTTCAAAACAATGAACCTTGGCACCAGTGGATTTTTAGATTATTGAACCTGTGGACCAATTTTATCTATAAAACTGACTTTTATATCTTTATTTTTTCATCAAGGCATCCATTTTCATTTCTTTCTGGTCTACTTAAATTTCAAATTTATTTCTTCTTTTAAATTATAATGGATCTTTTAAAATATTTCCATAAATATAATATGTAAAATGTTTGGTGAAACTTTGATCACAAAAAACACAAGGTTTTGCTTTCCTGTCTGTGACCAACCTTAAAGCCATGTGCCTTGTGCAAAATTTTCATTGTATCTGAAAAAGTACAATTCATAACAGTTACTGTAATTGTCACTTACAGGTAGGTTTCTTTAATAACATAATATGCTTTCTTTTGCATTTATATGTAGATGGTATTCTAAGGATGGGCAACCCAGCTGTCAAGTTTACTGAGGAGTGCCTCCATTGGATATTTGCACTCAGACATTAATGCTTTTCTCTTAATATCAACTTCAGTTTTCCATTCACTCAGATCAGTGTCCTGATTTCACTTACCATACTGATACTTCTTAAAGGGTGGTGGCAGTTCAGAGCATGTTGCAATATCTGAAAGTAAGGACAATTTCACTGAAGCAGGAGATCACTTCCCCAGAGCAAGACTGCTATCAAATGCCTCCTGTAAGAAGAACCTTGAAAGGCACTGGGAAAAAATCACAGGAAAAATGCTCCATAGAAATAAATTTAATTACTTTGATTGTACCGTAGCTTCTATAAATATCCATGTGTCAGCTTTACCTGATTCATTCATAAAAGCCTTGTATCCAAATGCATTTTTGATCAATGACAGATTTCACATTAAAGTTCATAGTGGCAGTGATTCATTACCATCCTTACCTTGAGCATGTTATTACTTTTAAGATAACAATTATCTATAATACATGTAGGCACCATTAGGAAAAAATACACTTCCTGGGGTAGCGATAGCAATTTTTTTGGCTTAGCCAAATCACCACTTTTTTGTCAATTTGTAATCAAAATGGTTATAATTTGACTAAAACAAGTCAAATCAGGCCCTTTTTCTTTAGCCAATTTAAGTCAGTTTAAGCATTTGGCTAAATTGGCGAGTGTTAGCGCTACCCCAGACTTCACATTAATTGCAATATATTCTCCTTTACCTTTGTTGACAACTGTCATGAAGTCAGCTGCTGTCTGTGACACTGACACATTCTTGAACACGATATGTTTGATGTTGCGATGTGGAAATGATCTGATCAGCCTGACTGTTACAGTTACTCCTTCTTCTGCCATGGTGCTAGTAGCTATGTGACACAGAAGTCTTTTTCAAAATCAAAAACAATAGTTGTCATCTTTCAGCTTAAAAAGGCAAAACAATTTCATAATTATTTTTACTTATCTGTAAATAACTAGTAACATAGAAAACAAAATAAATTTATCTTGTGCCATAATATTTGAAAAGATAAATTAAGCTTTTTCATACTCATATTCACTTACGTTCCAAATCAAAAAGATTTTTCCTATCTAAGAGATGATGTTTTATCAAACCCATATAAATTGTACACAATTAAGTCAGTGTAATCACAAATTGTGTTTAGGAGCTGATAGCAGCTGTGATTTTGGCCTATTGAATTTCATACTGGCTGAACATTTTTTTTTTTTTCAGTTAAAATTTTTAAGAACTTCAATTCTTTTCTCTCCCAATTTTAGTCTTTATAATTAAAATAATCTTACAGTAGTCCTTTGATAAAAAGGAACTGTAATAAAATGAGAAACAGAAAAGGGGAGGTCTCCCTTTAACACTAGTCATTTTTATATATAAGAGTTACCTTCATATTAGGCCATCACAGTTCCAATGTTATTTATAGGTAGTCTTTGTCTTCCAATTGTCATCAAATGAGGACTGTAAAATGATACATTTTACAGTATGTTTTTTATTCCCCCTACACTAATTAGCATTGTTTACCGTCACATGTATAATGCAGTCTTTGTCACGCACATATAAATAATAAATCAAATCGGATATCATTTGGTCAATAAAATTTTAAAAGTTATAAATAGACAGAACACATACACTGTAATATGTGGTCTGCTTGCACGAACAATTGCCAAAATAATTTATTCGAATAGCAAAGGTACTAAACAAAGTTACCACGTAACTTTTTTAATTAAGAGCAGGAGACTTAGATCTATTACTGGTTGGGGGTGGAACGCATAAATACCTTTCTTTCTGTTTTGTATTCCTGGATGGGGAATCCAAACCTCGCTTTCACTATCAAGACAGGACACTTTCGTGGCGTACAGACATCCGGTGAGCTGCATGAAATCCCACTTGGCCTCGTGAAATCGTGATTGCACAACCGGATACGGTGTTCATTTTTGTGGCAACAGTTCTGTTCTTATAAGACTCAGCATACCTGCGAGTTTAATCAGTTTTACAAGAATTCAAAACAGATTGTATAGCACGCGGAAAGTAAGTGAAACCTCAACAGTTTGCCGTCAACATATTGTTTTAAGCATCAAAAGCTAGAAAATTAACTTAGTATTTTTTTAATGCTTGCAAGAGTGTCAACGTTTAATGTTCTTTTGAAAATATTTATTAGATCAACAAGTGCAAATAGTTGAAATGCGATGCGCATATACAATTTTGAAGTTAACTGTTAACGTTACATTTACTTGACCTTTACCCTCTTCCGTCTTCACAGATCATAGAGGTATTTACAGTACCAGTGCCAGTCACAAGTTCAGTTAAGAGGGAGAAAGAGAGATAAAAGAGTAGAAGTTTGTCCTATGGAACCAGGCTGGACACAAGATTTTCAACAATCACATCAGAGAAGTAAGGGAGGTTTACGAGTCACTGCACAAATGGTGTCAGAGGACCCACTTTGTGCACCTTATTAATAAAAGAACACCTTTCTCACCTTGACTGGTTATGATTACTGAACCAGAATCATCAGAAAAGAAGACTATAGAATGCCACACCACTCCACCATAATGAAAAATAGTAAAACCTAATTGCAGTTGTTAAAAAAAAAATTAATGAATTTAATTAATTCACCTTATTTAGGCTGTAGAAAACTAAAAGCTACATGTATAACATTGTTCATTGTTCACTTGTATAACATAAGTTACTGAGAAAAAACTTTGACCATGCACAATAAAATTTCAAATAAAATTAGAAAAAGCCATCAGACCAGTTCTACCTAACTTACCTTACAATATAAACATAAACTTATTTCTGTTATTAAGTATTTTAATTATTAAAACTTAACTTATACTGTTACATAAACTCCAATTTTATAGACACATTCTGTGTTAAATGTAATAGAAACTCAACAAAGAGTAATATTTCCATTTAGGTTTTTATTTTAAACTTTAGATTTTGCTGTTTCTCGTTGATGATAAAAGTAAGTTTAAAGCAGCTCTTGGTTTTTTTATTATTTGATATAGATACCCTAGTACTGATGCTAGAGTCTTTTCATGTTTCACGTATCGTAGAAAACTTCCAAATTGATATATTTCTGTTCTGTAACTTCAATAGGAATCAAGTTCATGTACAGGGTAGAAGTCAAATGTTGTGTTATCTTTCAGCATTTCCTGGACCACCAGTTGTATTAAGTGTGCCCCACTGGCAGTACTTCCCACCAATGCAGGCTGAGTCACACTATCACAGTCACCATAGTCAGCTGGACGGCAGTCAGCCAAGGTTCAGGGGTCAAGGTGGGGCAATATTTAGAGGTCAAGGTCAGAGGTCATATGGAGGTCAAAGCCAAAATTGGCAAATAGACTTGTCAGATGAAGCACAGATAAATAACACAAACCAGTTTGATCAGAGGGATTTCAGTCGTCAGGCTGGCTATAGAGGAAGAGGAAAGAGAGGCAAAGGACGAGGGGGGAGTGCAGCTGGGTCAAGGTCAGAGCAGGGCTTCCAGGGCAGATATGACGAAACCCGGAGAAGTGAACAGAATGTGAGTGGAGGTGCACGGCCTAAGTCATCAAAAGCAAGGGGTGGCAGAAATAGATACAAGGGCTATAGTGACAGTGCAGCAGTCAGGGGACACAATTTTGACAAGGAACAAAGAAAAGATAGGGCAGTTAGTCCAGATGACCCTCAAGTTGGTGATGTATATGAAGAAAGTAGTAGAGAAACATCCACAGATAAAGGTGGATTACGAAAGTCAGATCAGTCTCTGCAAAATGATATTAATTTAAGTGATACACAGGGGAAGCAAATGGGATTGAAAGCAAAAAGTAACAAAAACCAAGAAGAAAACAATGGATCACGAAAGAAAGGCAATAAATCCACCAAGACTGGTTTGAAGGGAAAACCAGGAAATGATGAAAATCAAAGAGGTAAACAAAATAAACTTAAATCTGAATTCATAAAGATTGATTAAAACATTTGACATTCCCCTTTAGCTGTTAGCTATTAAAAAAGATCAATTTATTAGGAACATTGCTCGTATAAGTAACAGTTATATAATTGTTACTCCTACAGCATTTGCTTTCACACTAGCTTGTAAGCAGTTTGGTAAAAAAAAAACAACATAATATCTATAATATCTAGAGAAATTTATCATGATGAAAAGTATTTAATCATTTCTTGCTAAATTGTTATCATCATTTGATACAAAATTGGTTCGAGTTAATATGTCATTCTACACCTGCCTTGATGCAGTTAATTTGAGTATGAAACAACAAAGGAAATGTTATTTTGTGATCTTTGATTGAAACCTTTGATTTTTAGGTGTCCTAATTGAGGAGCTGAGAAATGAGAGTTATGAATGCATGGTTTGCTGCAGTGCTATAAGGTGTGAGGCTGCGGTCTGGAGCTGCAGCAGTTGTTTCCATATTTTCCATCTGTACTGTATCAAGAAATGGGCCAGGACTGTTCATTTGGAAGGAGAGGGTGAGTGGTATGGCAGAGCAGAAACAGCTGTGTCAAGAGTGAATATGATGTGAGGATTGTAGTTTCTAGAAATAACTTAAGTCACTTATCCTAATTTATAATTTAGCTGAAAGTTGCTACTTAAAAAAATGATACTTGTTATTGCAATACAGGATTTGTATTTTAAAAACAGCTGATGCAAATGCAAGAGTCATTCTTTGATTGTGTTAGAGACTGCAGTCCACCAAAGAACTGTGAGCAGAAGTCTCATGATGGGAAGATATATATTTGTTCATGAAAACTTTTCCAGTGGCTGAGACTGGCTGGCGTTGCCCAGCATGTCAAAACGTGACTTTCAAGCTCCCCAACCAGTACCGTTGTTTTTGTGGGCGTGTGCGTGACCCGGACTGGACTGGCTACGACACTCCGCATAGCTGTGGAGAGGTGTGTGGCAAGAAGAGAGGAAGTGCTTGCACACACCCATGTAATATGTAAGACTTACTTTCCATTACTTTAATACAAGTATATGTTTCATGGACAGACACTTAGTGTCTGGGTACATTGTCATTACCTGCTCTGCTGGGTTTGTTAATGTGCTTGATGACATATGTTAAATTAAAACAGGCTCTAATTCATCTGACTTCAGAGGATCTTGGTCTGAGTCACAATTCCTGATTTCAATTGTACCATGAGAATCACATTGAAATGCAAACTTTATCATATGTCTGCTTCAAATTTATATTGAAACTGGATGTGACCAAATCAAAACGAAATTTAAGATGAAAATCATTATGAAAGACAAAGACTAGTATGTTGGCAACTACTTAAACAGTAATTTTGATCATCTACCAATTTCGTATGTACAAATTTAAAGAATTTTTGCCTCCATCTTTGCTTCACTGCTGTTGTCCACATCACTGGGTGATTTCCTGGAATTTTTACATAAACATTGTAAAAAGAAAGACATTTTACTTTTTATTCACAGACTAAGAGGAATGATTAATTAGATTGAAATACACATCCAGTTTGAAAATAAGGCTGATTAGATAGGATACATAATCATAATTCTTTAATGTTTACAGTGTGTCTGTACAGCCATCACCTGCTGTACAGCCATTTGTTGTCTGTGTTGTCCTTGCCATGCTTTTTTCGCTATGAAAGTCACTTATGAAAAAACTGTGATGTATTAAACTTACTGGGGTGATTTATGGCACTGGTTCAAGTATCAGCTTCATTAGATAATTTTTCTAGAAGAAGTGCATTATTTTGTGAAATTTTCCATTTTCTCAAGGTGGCATTTTCAAATATGAAATATTATTTTTTGTGAAATTTTTATATTTCTCATATTGGCATCTTCAGTGTGTGATTTTGAAATCCCAAAGTGACAAAAACCCTATGCTAGTTATGTTTTCTGAATGTTCATGTTATTTCTAGTACATAATTAAATAATTGGTGGCGATGATGTTAAACGTTATGTAACATTGCATCAAAAATGATCAAGGCCATAATTATTTTCTGCACAGTGTTGGTTTTCTTTGATATTTCAGCTTATGCCACCCAGGTCCATGTCCTCCCTGTCAGACAGTGGTCAGCAGGCCGTGTCACTGTGGGAAGACCAGGTCAGTGTTTACAGTACTTGTCTTTTATTTCCTTCGTGGTAACCAGGCCTGTTATGGACGCTTTTTATTTTCAAATGGCAAAGCCAGTTCGCGAAAAAAAAAACAACATTTTTTGTCAACAATCCATGGTCACCAAATGTCTTGAATGTCTCCATCTTGGTGCCTAATGCTTCAGCTGTAGTGTTTCATTCAAGACTAACTTCAGAGATTAAATGCTATCTTTGGGCTCTGCAGGCTGAACTTGGAGTTTGATACTGACAGTTTTGGATGAGTCCTCCAAAATTAAAATGTAGAACTCAAAAAATGACCCTATAAAACTATATTGGTTTTGGATAGGGTATACCTTGGGATTATGAGAAAATTGATGAAGTTTCCAAGAATTTTTTTCTTTTTGCTATATAAATGTCGAACACTGTGTCTTGAAAGATTAAAAAATATCCACTTTTAATGTAAGAAAATATTTGGGATGAAAGCATCTGTATAAATCTGTATAAATATAAATTTTCTAGAGGAGGAAAGATGTAGAGTTGAGGGTACCTAGTTTGGATATGCTGCATGCAACCCCTTGCCACACATGCCAGATACACGTCATGAGGCCCATAGCTTCAACATTATGATCCATTGTTACATTATTGACATTTGTCATCATGTTTAGGTTCGATACTTTAGCCTATGGTAGACATGGTTCTTGTTTAATTGTGTTTTGCTGTGCCATTTGTGATAATTCAAGTACAGCTGATTCATGTGGATGTTTTTGCTGACCTAGGCCCAGTGTCAAGTGCAATGCTGCTGCAGATATCAAGTGTTCCTCTTCATGCGACAAACCTCTGAACTGTGGGAAACACTTCTGTCAGAAGATATGTCACTCAGGACCATGTGACCCTTGTGATGTCACACTGGAACAAGGTCAGTTCTGATTGGTTTTAGAAGGCAGTCATGTGACTTAAGGTCATGTTTCAGTCCTGCTGGCTGCTTTCTATGCACAGTTAAACATAGTTCCTGAAGGTTTGATTTTTTTCATGTGATGTCAAAACAGAAGAAGGAAAGATAGAATGTGTCACTTTTAACATCCACATTCATTTTAAGTACTTAATATCAGTTGAAACTAAATTACATATTTTTTTTCAGAATGTTGGTGTGGGCAGAGTAAGAGGAGCGTTCTGTGTGGGACTGGGGACTCCTTTGACAACTACTACCGCTGTGACAAACAATGTAACAGGTGCTGTACACAAAACATCTTTGTGGTCTACATTGCTGATAAAACATTGTTTGGCTGAAAAGAAATTGTAATTTTCTTATAGGTGACATATTAATGGTAACATTTAGGAAAATATTCATCAAATTGCAAACAAACACTTTTAGATGCAGTTTAAGATTAAAAACTTGTGCAGAAGATGGCATTTAACAAACAATTGATAAAATTATAACTTTGTCTTCACTAGCCCATGGTTTGCCCATGATAAGTGTAGTTCTCATATTCATATGGGTATTCAATTGTCACAAGTGCGAGATAAAATACCAAGAACTGGTCACTGTTTGCTCAAAGGTTACTGTTCATACACAGAAATCAGGGGTAAATAGCCTTCTGGATTCTTTGTGCTAGTGGCCATTGTGTTAAGAAAGGTGTCATGTGACACAGTTGATTAACTTTTAGCCTCTCTGTAAAATACAATTTCAGTACGTAGAATTATTACATCTCACTCTAAGAGTAAGAACAGGTCCTGGTTTGGAGTGGATTTCCATTGTGAAGTATGTGTAAGATATGCTGTGTATTTCCAGATGGCTAACTTGTGGCAGTCACCAGTGTGGTCAGCCCTGTCACCCGGGACCCTGTGGACAGTGTCCACTCTCTGTGGACTTAGTCACTCACTGTCCATGTGGCCAGACCCCCCTGGCTAAGCTGATAGAGAGGGACGAGGCAACAGAGAGGAAGAGGTGCACAGATGCTGTGGCATCATGTGGTGGAGTGTGTGGAAAGACACTGCACTGTGGGACTGACGGTGAGGGCAGCTGGGACTGGGAGAGGGTGATAACAGCTAGGACTGGGAGAGGGTGATAACAACTAACACTGGGAGAGGGTGATAACAGCTGGGCTGGGAGAGGG